CTTTCCCTTCCAGGAGCCAGGCGGGAGGGGGACCCTGAGGGTGGGGGCACCCTCAGGGCACTATAGTGCCAGGAAAACGAGTATGTTTTCCTGGCACTATAGTGGTCCTTTAAAGGGATACTATAGTCACCCAGACCACTTCAGCTCAATGAAGTGGTCTGGGTGCCAGGTCCCTCAGGTTTTAACCCTGCAGATGCAAACATAGCAGTTTCAGAGAAACTGCTATGTTTACATATGGGGTTAAAGGGACACTCCAGGAACCCAGACCACTTCTGCCCAATGGAGTGGTCTGTGTGCCAACTTCCACTACTCTTATCCCTGCAAGTGTAATTATTGCAGTTTTTTATAAACTGCAATAATTACATTGCAGGGTTAACGCCTCCTCTAGTGGCTGTCTACTAGACAGCCACTAGAGGGCACTTCCTGGTTTCTAGCACAGGAAACCTGTGCTAGAGCGTCGCTGGACGTCCTCACGCTATGAGCATTGCTCATTTCCCCATAGGAAAGCATTGAAATGCATTTTCAATGCTTTCCTATGGGGAGCGCTAATGCGCAGGTGCGGCATTGCCGCGCATGCACATTAGGTCTCCCCGGCCGGTGGGCGGGATCAGTCTCTCCCACCGGGCCAACGCAATGCAGAGGAGGAGTGGCGGCGGAGGAGGAAGCAGCGACGAGTGACATCGACGCTGCCTCAGGTAAGTCACTGAAGGGGTTGTCACCTCTTCAGCAACCGGGGATTGGGGGGTGGGAGAGAGAGGGATCCTGCAGTGCCAGGAAAACAGATTGTTTTCTTGGCACTGGAGTTTCCCTTTAAGCCAGCCTCTAGTGGCTGTCTTCCGGACAGCCAATAGAGGTGCATCTGCAACGCTGGAGGCATATTATGCCTCGATCACGCAGAGCGTCCATAGGAAAGCATTGAAATGCGCATTCAGCTCCGCTGACGTCGGCAGAGGGAGCTGACGTCGGCGGAGGAGGAGAGGTCAACAGCGCCGAGGGAGCCCGGCGCTGGAAAAAGGTAAGTGGCTGAGGGGGTTTTAACTGTTTAGTTTTCCTGACACTATAGTGATCCTTTAATTCTAAGACTATCAATAGTATAATAATACCAAAAAACAAAAAAACTAAATTATAAAAGGGAACTATCAGTATCACTGTGCTTAGATTATAAACTCTATAAAACAAGGCGCTCAGCCTGAAAACCTCTAGTATCAGATACAAAGATCGAATTATTCAATGCATGACTGCTTTCCCAAATAGTGCTGTTTACCAATCGTCCTGTGAATTGCTAAGCTGTGCCTTCAAGGGCACCTGTTCTGTATAAGAAACTGTCTGCTAGTCTAAGGTGAGCACTGATATAGGAAAAACAGAGTCATACATACGCCTTGCCTATATCTATTGCAGAGGACATAATGTCTATGATCTAATAGCAAACGAAAAAAACAAATATGTAAAAGTAATAATTATAGAGTATAGTGCAGAGCAGAGCCCCGACACACGTTTCGCCGGTAAGGCGGCTCTACAAGGGGGAGGAAACTGATACAATAGTATACTAAACTATAGTTCTGTCTTCGTGGTTATAGTGACTCTTCTGATACTTTGTGTCTCTTAGGATTGCCAGTTTTAGTTTCACTGACATCTCTAAATCTACACTCTAAATTTCTTATACTCGGGCTCAGGCTGTAATCCCAGAAACAATTAATAATTCAATTTATTTCACATATATATTATATTGGATACTTCTATATTAGTCTTTTTCCTTTAATAATTATATTTTTTTGTTTTCTTTATACATTTGTTTTTTGGTCTATGCTATTGATAGTCTTAGAATTAAGTAATCATTTTTGGTTTATTTCTTGGTTTGCAACAGCAAGATTTTAAACAAATGTATTAAATGTTATGTTTTAAATAAACTGACACCAGTAGGCTAGTACCTTGCTATACAATTAAAAGGGTTAATGAGATTAACACTACAATAGCACATTAGAAACGATAATTCTGATTGTGTAAAACAAGGCTGGTGTAACGCTTTGATGATATTTAGGGTTATGGGGTAATTGCCTTCAAGATGCTTTGCCACACTGGGAGTTATACACCACAATATCTTCTAACCATACATCCCCCTCAATATGAAAAACATGACATCAAAAGCGTGTTTAATTTTTTGCCTTACATCTGCCTGGCTGGCTGCTATGACTTGGAAACTGGCACAAGCTTAATTTACATAAAATGCCACACAGTGCATGAAGTATCAGGCTGCCTTTACTGTCTGAGAGCTTCCAATTTACAGCTCGGCACAACCTAGAGTGTTTAATTATGTGTACGAGAATCAGATCTCTATATAGCTGCAGGCCACAGACTCAGGGTGATGGTCTGGACATGAAATACACTGCCATACAGCCTTCATACACTGTAGGAGGGGGCCCATCAGAAGGTGGAAGGGGTGGGGGTGCAGGGCATGGCCTATCCAGATTCAAAGCCGGCTCAGCTTGTTACATTTTCTTTCCTCTGTTTTGGGTTGAGCAGTGAATGTTTACGGTGCAAACTGTGATTGTAACTCTGTGCGGAGCACATTAACAAGCCTGTTTGTTTTGTCAAATAACACAGAACTGAGACTTGCTCTGCGTGCCATGGGGTCATTAACTTCTTCATTGCCAAGCTAAACATAAACACAGCATGCCGTTACATAATTAGCCAACCTGGGAGTAACAACAAAGGAGTGATTTAACATGTTTTACTAGCTGGATGGATGGCTAATGTCTAGTATGTCAGTGAAAAACAATGCATTCTGGGGGAGATCAAACAGGACTTGGGGTACAGGAGGGCATGGTGCGGTTCCTGGTACAGCCTCAACTACTCCTCAAATAAGTATTTTATTTTTATTATATCTGCTTAACACAATAGATCTGATCAGAATAAATCTGCAGGGACCGCCTAACGCTATCAATGCCGCAAGGAACAGAACCCACGCCACAAACAATGCCAGCTAGTCTGAAGGACCCACTACGATAGGGGGACTGCTGCTGGCACTGGGCGGGTGGGAGAGGGGCTGAGCAAGTGAAGTTTTGGCAATTCGAATTGGTGATGTACTGCTAGCTGTGTTTATATGGGCAGCCAGAAATTAACATGTCACGTGTATTAAACATCGTATATTCTGTCCATCTTATATTAGTGTCCATTCTCCACTATGAATGGAGATTCTGTAATATTATTATTATTTGTAAGGTACCAGAAAATTCCTCAGCCCTGTACAATGGGAGGAATATTTAGAGTTTGTGGGGTATAAAGGCACACTGCTGCCCCTAGTGGACAGGCCATTACTCCAGGAGCCTCTGCTTACTACGCTCCTTGGTGCTTTTGCAGATGTCAGGTGTCATAAGGACTGACCCCTCACTGGACATCTGGACTGAACCAGCCTGAGCTCTCCTGCCATATCCCATCATGTCAGCATTGCCTGACTCCGGTACCCTCCGGTAGGCAGACAAAGTAATAGAGCAGCAGGAAATGGTAGCAGCATGCTTGGTTGTATAGGGAGAGGTATTAGCAGTAGAAAGAGGGAAGTGCTCATGCCATTGTACAGAACACTGGTGAGACCTCACTTGGAGTATTGTACCCAGTACTGGAGACCGTATCTTCAGAAGGATATTGATACCTTAGAGAGGGTTCAGAGAAGGGCTACTAAACTGGTTCATGGATTGCAGGATAAAACTTACAAGGAAAGTGTGGCAAACCATGCCACTTCAGACTATTTTGGTTTCACTTTAAGGGTTGCTCTAGAAAGACTGGTCTATATATGCAGTTTGATGTATCTGTTTAAAATGTGAAAGAGGGAATTCGTATGCTAGTGGCACGAAAGCCGCTCGCATTCATATGGTAGTTTCACGAACAGTGATTTTCAACACTGTACGTGAAATGAACAAAGTACCGAATGGGAGCCCACACACAGGTGGTCGTGTGGCTCCCATTAACCGATCGTAACATTGTATCTATTGGCTGTTAATTGATTCCCGGGTGGCCGTCGTTCGACTACCGACCACGAAGCGGCTGCCACCTTGGATTTCCTTTGTGCCCAGCGATGTTTGGTCGTCGAGTGCCTGGAACTAAAATCGGCTACTCGACGGCACGAACACCGCTGGACTTCCAGGCCATTCAGGAGTGCCGGTCTTTCTGTACTTTTTCCCCACTTATGTATTCGTGGCTTTTATGATGAATGTATGTCAAAGTATATTTCGTGCGGCATTCGGCTGATTGTGTGAGG